TCACCTCCACCCTGCTCACTCTGACAGATGACAGGACACTCTCCTCACCTCCACCCTGCTCACTCTGACAGATGACAGGACACTCTCCTCACCTCACCCTGGGGGCCTGACAGATAATGGAGCATCACTCTCACCTCCACCCTGGAGCCTTGGACGGATCTTACTTACTGAACATGGACCACCAGGACTAGCAATCACTTCCATTTTCTAACAATGCCACATCCTGGGTACATTCCTTCCATGGCTCAGGGTTGAGACACAGTCCACATGCCACATCATCTGCCTAGTCAAAGTACACAGTCCAACACCTCTTTCTTAGACCCACCACCAGCACAGTCAATTTTAGAATTCCTATGTCACCAAAGAGAAACCTCACCCCCCCAGGCATCCCTCCCAATTCCTCTGCCCAGCCCCAGGAAGTGACCACTCCACTTTGCATCCTCATAGATCTGCCTGTTCTGGACACTTCATATGAATGAACTAGACACTGCAGCCTTTAATGGTTGGGTCATTTCAGCTCCGTGGTATTGTTAAAGGCTCATCCCCCTCGTCACACACTCATCATCTACGTCATTCCTATAAGGTGAGGCTTTCTCTTGTCATCTGAGGTTCCCCTCGGCACTGAGATCAAGAGAGGACTAATTAGAATCAGAAACAGATAACACTCTAATTCACCGGAAGCCACTCAGGTTAGGCATTATTACACCCACAGTAATTATTTCCCTTTTGCTAATGAACTAAGGTTCTCAAAAAGTTAAGAGACCTGCCAAGGTCACAGAGCTAATGAACTCTGCAGACAAGATGTGTATTGAAGTCCATCTGACATAAACTTCTGTCACTGATTCGACACAGTGCTGTGTTGGGGGCAAAGGTTAGTGCCCTCACTAGGACCGGTAGTGGCATCAGCGGTGGAACTGACCACGTGTGAGCCACGTGCACACATTCGTGCCTGGCAACACCTTAACACTGCGGTGCAGGTGATACATCATCCCCGTGATACAGATGAGGAACTGGGGGCAGCTAGGGTAACCCCCCAAAAAAGAATGCTGCTTTGAATTCTTTCGTTATATGTTTTTAGCAATAGATATTTTGAATGTAATTTTTAAACATTTCAGGTAATACAGATTTTGATACAAGTTGTGGAGCAAGCATGTCTCTAAGGGGTTCAGGAGTTGGTTGGATAAGGCTGGTATCTTCAGGTTTACACAATCATCCAGGCACCCCCGGATGACAGCACCTGCTAAAAACGGGATAGCGTTTTCCTAGTAAACTCCACAGGGAGAAATAACAGGTGGGCGCTGTATGTCCCATTGGTCACAAAAGGGCTAAGTAGGTTGGCAGAGCTATATTTCATTTGTGTTCAAGCTATCTGGCTCCCTCTCTGAACGAGGTGTGTTCCTCGGGAGCATTTCCTGGTTCACCTCTGAGTCTCTGGTCCCTGGAAGGTCTCATGGATACACTTCAGATTACACCAAGTGTCAGAGTGCAAGGACACACACAGACCCAGGCATTAAAGAGCCATTGTCTGATGTGAGGGATTGCAGGGAACAGAGCTGAGGAAATCCAGGTGATGTGGAGCATAGAGGTGTCATCCAACAAGACCTGCGCCGAGGGAAGGACATTCTGGGGGACCTATGCATATGACTCAGGGATGAGAAAGCATGGACTGGACACAAAGGGGTGGACAGGGGCAAGAAGGAGGTGAAGAAAGGTGGCACTGTCCCCGGTCAATGAAAGAACACGTGCAGTAACTGAGTGAGACAGGAGTGGCAGAGGGCCAGTGTGAGACTCACAGATACAGCCCACTGGAGACCTCACGACCCTGGGCGGGACAGTGAGGGACAAGGCTGGAGTGTCCATCTAGCAGGGTTTGCTGTCCAGAGGAAGTGCTTGGACTCAGCCCAGCAGAGTCACTGCCCAAGCCTCAGTAGGAGATCAGTTCAGGGTGATGTGTGCACTTGGGAGACTCCTGTGTCACTGACCCCAGCCTCATGGAGTTCCACGAGTCACAGCTGAGTGGAAGTCATGCAGAGAAGCCACACAGAGCAGACACCTGGCACAGCCATGGACATCAGCCACACAGTGCAGCCAGACAGCAAGCAGCACAGCTACACAGCACACCAGACAACACACTGCTCCACACAGCCTCAGAATGTAGTGACACAAACAACACACCACACAGCGCAGCCACCCAGCATGCCACATGGTCACACAGTGCAGACACACAGCACACCAGACAACACACCGCTCCACACAGCCCCAGAATGTAGTGACACAAACAACACACCACACAGCGCAGCCGTACAACATGCCACATGGTCACACAGTGCAGACACACGGCACACCAGACGACACACCACTCCACATAGCCTCAGAATGTAGTGACACTCACAATACACCACACAGCGCAGCTCTGCAGCAGAACCAGAGGGCACAGGCATGTGGCACACGAAGAGGCGGCCCTCTACTCACCGAGTCTCCTTTCTCTCCTTTGGGTCCAGGCATTCCAACCGGCCCAATTTCTCCCTGAAATTGAAACAGAAATGGGCATCAGGTTCCACCCCTGAATGGACTCCTGTCCACGGAAGCTTCCCTGGGCACGTTGTCCTGAATCCTTCACACAACTGGATTTATCAGTGTAGACTGCAGACCTTCCATCATTGTCAAATGATGAACAGGTTAGTGACGCCTTTCTGGGGTAAGTCCTACCTAGGAATTACCGGGACAGACAGCAGGGACAGACAATGTCAGCAGAGGGAAGAGCAGGACTGTTCAAGCCACTGGTCCCTGGGGCACTCCCAATCCTCCCCCACATCAGTGAATGAGAGCCGGGCAAGCTCAGCCCTGGGGCTGCCCTACTGCTGACTGAATGGCCAGGACCCAAAGTTCCAGGTTCAAATCCAGGTTCCGCCCCTTAGCCTGAGTGCACCTCTCACTTTCTGGGCTCAGGGCCTCTCTTCTGTAATATGGGCATACAGACATGAGCACAGAAACCCAAGGGCACGGAAGTACTTTGAAACCTGTGACGGACCAGCTAGTCCCAAGGGAGCCATTTGGTCAGCAAATTCCTCTGTGAGCACCTTGGGCCTTTCTGAGCATCGCTGAGGAGGAGGAGGGCAAGCAGTCAGGGAAGAAAACTGACCAGGGCCCAGCGCAGGCCAGGGGCAGAGCCAGGACTGTAACGCAGGTTTTCCGTACGTTCTTTGTCTGAACGATGGGCTCTTCCCATTCGTGCTTTCACCTCACAAGTCGGGAGTGTGCGGCTCCTGTGCACATGCTGTTCCCTCTGACAGACACACCTCTCCCTGCCGTCTCTGTCCCAGGCAGTGTATCCACCTGGCCGAAGCTCAGAAGGGACTCTGCTAGAAAGGCCTCCTGCAGGTGTCTCCCAGGAAGCTTAGAGGTCTCTCCTCTGGACCCCAGGCTGCTCTCTGCCCAGCCCTCACCACAGCGGCCCACCTCTCTCTTCCATGTCCTTCTGTCCCTGGACTGAGTGCTGGGTGGGGGCAGTGTCTCTATCATTTACTTTTCTATGAGGTCAACTAGCTTAATGGTAAGGAATCCTGCTGCCACTGCAAAGGTACGTGGTTTGAATCTGCCAGCCGCTCCCTGAGAGAAAGCTGGGCAATCACCTCCTTCGTGGTTCGTCGCCCCTGAAAACCCACCAGAGGGTCAGCTATGGATCAGCTCGGACTCAGGTACACAATGACAGCACACTCACACCGACGACGCACTCTGGTCCCCGGAGACACCAGGCAAGATTTGCTGACATGGCTTGAGCAGGATCTAGACAAATGGGGCCCTAGAGTCACCAAGGCCCACCCAGAGCTTTATCCACAGGCTGGGGCCCTTTAACTGGTCCTACTGTCAGGCCAGACATCTCAAACCAGCCAGGAAGGCTTCTGAGTGGTTATGTTGTTGTTGCTGTGTGCCTCCAAGCTGCCTGTGACTCATAGTGACCCTCTGTACAACAGTTCTGAAGCCTACTCTATCCTGAGCCAGTCTCACTCCAACACACCTACTCCCATAGCTCCAGTTATGGTGTCAATCCATCTCAGCCAGGGTCTTCCTCTTATGCGATTATCCCTCCACCCTTCCAAGCATGATGTCCTTTCCCAAGGATTGATCTCTCTTGGCCATATGCTTAAAATATGTGAGACAGAGCTTCCAAATCCTAACCTCTAAGGAGAGACTTGGTTTCACCCTCTCCAACACAGACCTGTTTGTTTTCTTGGCAGACCATGGTATGTTCAGGACTCTTCTCCAGCACCACTACTCAAAGAAATAAATTCTTCTGTCATCCTTAGTCATTGGCTAGCTCTCTGATGCATAGCAAGTAATAGTGAAGACCATGGCCTGAATCAGGTCTCTAGACTGACATCTTTGCTTCTCAGACTCTGGAGAGGTCCCTGAGAACAGATTCTCCCAGTGCAGTTCCTCGTCTGACTTCCTGACTGCTGGTGCCAAGAGTGTTGATTGTGGAGCTGAACAAGCTGTGACTGTTAACAACCTCAATCTCTTCTCCACCCACCCTGATGCTTTTTTCAGGTGGTTCTACCCACCTTTAATCCTTAGCATCCTGTCCCTCCACCCTTCTCCCTCCGCTCCCTCCTCTCCCAGGCTCAGGCTCGCTCAACAACAGCAGAAGTGCAGCCATGACACCAGCAACCAGTGTTTCCCACAAGTACCTTCTGCTCACAGGCACCAAGTTCCAAGCATCTCTGCTCTCTTCTCTGGTCTGACAGTGAGGAAGCAGTGCAGTCACAGCTCAGAGAGCGCTCAGTGAGGCAGAAACTCCTGTCTGTCTGTTGTCAGCACCTGCCCTGGACCCCTCCCCAAGGCCCTCCACCACAAAGTGGGGAGCCAGTGGAGGGGGGAGGCTGGGGAGGGGGCTGGTGATGATGCCCATGTGTTCCCATACATCTGTCCGTGTGTGCGTGAGTGCATATGTGTGTGCGTGCACACACATGTAAGAGTGTGTGCGTATATGTGTGTATGCAGGTGTATGTGTGTGTATGCGTGCCTGTGTATGCAGGTGTATGTGTCTGTGTGTGTATGCATGCATATATGTGTATATGCATGCAGGTGTATGTATGTGTGTATGCGTGCCTGTGTATGCAGGTGTATGTGTGTGTATGCGTGCCTGTGTATGCAGGTGTATGTGTCTGTGTGTGTATGCGTGCATATATGTGTATCTGCATGCAGGTGTGTGTGTGTGTGTGTGTATGCGTGCCTGTGTGCCCTATCCAGCAGAATGTGAGCAGAGAAGGAAGGTGCAAGGAGGGACAGATGAGAAAAGGGGGAGAGGCAGGAATGAGGGAGCAGAGAGAAAAGGAAGGAGGAAAGAGCCAGGAGACACAGAGAGGGAAGGAGTGAGCCAGTCAGATAGACAAGCTGAGAGATGGCCAACAAGCCACTGCATCACCTCTGGCCCTTGATCTCCTCATCTGTAAAATGGGATGATTTTGCTGCTCAAGAAAGTTGAACTAAATATTGCATACAATTCATTCAACAAGCTTTAACCACCTGCCATGAGCACAGCACAGGTGACCGTGTCTATGATATACATCACAGGTCAAGGTCATAGCCCAGAATGTGGCACATGGCAGGGAGAGTCACTGTAGTTAGAATCCACTGGAGCAGGAAGGATCATGGGAAAGAATCCCACAGCAGCAGAAGCCATCAGCTCACAGGTCTGCGTGCCCCCCACACCCAGGGTGCTTGGGGTGAGGATGTGTCTTAACCATCCTGTAAATCCAACACCGGCTTTAGGGGCGCTCAAATATGGCCGAACAAATGGGAAGCAGAGAGGAGCTTGGAGGGGCGGGGGAAGAAGAGAAGAGGAAAAGGAGTAGAGGGAAGGGGTGATAGAAAGGGAGGGGGAGGGGGGAGGAGGAGGAAAAGAGGAAGGAGAAGGAAAGGAAACAGAAAAGAGAAGGAAGGAGGAGACAGGCAAGAGTGTGGCCCGAGACTGCTGTTGTGATCGTGAGTCACGGAGTCGGAACAGACTCAGAGCTGACCCTCCAGCGGGGACACCGTAAGACGTGTGGGAGGGGACTGACCACCTTTCTCCCATGGAGCAGCTGGTGGACTCCAACTACACACCTTCGTGTTGGCAGTGCAATTCCTTACCCTAAAGCCATCAGAGCTTCCTAAGGGGCAGAGCAGTCAGAGTCCCATCACCATGTCAGCTCCCCTCCCAACCCCAGACCTTGTTAGCCCCACCTGACATCTACCAGACCACCTGGACGGGGCATTGCAGGTCACGCGTCTGGTCTGTTTATGATACCTTAACACAGCCAGGCAGCCCTTTCTAGCTATTGCTGGGTGCTGTCAAATCAATTTTCCTCTCAGGGGAACCCCATGTGACAGAGCAGAACTACCCTGTAGAATCTTCTAGTCTATCATCTTTATGGGAGTAGACTGCTAGGTCTTCCTCCCATGGGGACTCCAGGTGAGTTCGAACCGCCAACACTCTGCATCTGAGCAGGTGACCACGCTCCAGTCGGCTCCTTGTAGAGCCCTCAGACCTGGGGGAGGCTGGAGAGTATGAGGCCGCCCCATCAGTGAGGGGAAGACCCTGGCAGAGAACACCACCTGGCTGTGTGCAGAGGGCTCGGAATGTCTGTGTAAAGCAAAGTCCCGACAATCTCAACAGTTTCTAACAGCCCAGACTCTGAAAGTGTTGCAGTACAGTGGTCTAAAAAGACAGATCAGAATCCATCTCCTACGGAATACCAAGCATATGAGAGGGAGAAACCGCTCAGGGCTCCTGTAAACAGCCTTTCTGCCTCATGTTCCCCCGACAGTGAAGTGGAGACTGAGCAGCTAAGACACAGGTGCAGCACCCTGAACTTTGGGACACCTGTCCTCGACTTCCCAGACCAACCACCTTTGGGGAGACAAGCACACAAAGCATTTCTCTGTTTTGTTCTTTTGTGGGCGTAGTAAGACAAAGGGTGACTCATGACTCCATTGATTCTATCAAGCCCCATACTAACCTTTGGACCAGGGAGTCCCACCGGGCCATCGAAGCCCCTGTCACCCTAAAAAGAGAAAGGCAAGCATGAGTGGGTAAGGCCTTGCTTAGCTCACTGTCTGTTATCTGCCACCAGGCTCACGACCCAGTCCCTGGATTAGTCAGACGTCGAGTTGGGCAAGAGAACTGGTTCATGGACGACTCCGCTCCAGAAGAGAAGCCACATGAGGAACCTGAACACACCCTCCAAATGCAGCTGCCCCTGGAAATCAGCGCAGACCCCAACACGCAAAAGGGTACTCCCAGCCGGGGCCTGAAATGGTATCATTCATGAAAGAGGAGCTGTCTGAGATTGCCTCACAGAACAACCGCTCCTTAAAACACAAAGCACGGTTTACAGACTATTTCTAAATGTACACTTTGGTTTTAAATGTATGTTTTTAAAAGAGAAAAACAAGACTTCACACATTTAATGTGTACCTGCACACACATACACTGATGGATGCAGGAATGGTCTTGTTCCATGGATTAAAGAAAAACGTGGCCTACAAGCTGAGGACACATGCAGATATTGTCAGGCAAAGAAGTGTGGCACGATTCCTGTGGTGCTCCTTGTGTAAATGTCACCGTACTGAAGAAGATGACAGAGACGTACATTACCTCCTGTGTGCCCACATCATTTAAACAGTCTGCAGCCTTCAATACGGACTGAAGCTCAACATCAGGAAAACAAATATTCTCACAACTGGGCCGGTTGGCAGCATCATGGTAGATGGTGAAGAGATTGAGATTGTTGACCAAAGCTTCAATTTGTTGGCTCTACAATCAAAACTCTTGGTACCAGCAGCCAGGAAATTAAAAGACGAATTGCACTGGGAAAGTCTGCTGTCAGAGACCTCTCCAAAGTACTGAAGAGCAATGATGTCAGTCTGGAGACTAAGGTGCACCTGATATAGGCCATGATCTTTGCAAATACTTGATAATGCATCAGAGAGCTGGACAATGACTAGGGATGATAGAAGAATTGATGCCCTTGAGCTGTAGTGCTGGAGAAGAGTATTGAATATACCACGGACTGCTAAGAAAATTAATAGATTCATCCTAGAGAGGGTGAAGCCAGGCTGATTCTTGGAGGCAAGGATTCTGAAGCTTCATCTGACATACTCTGGACATGTTGCAAGGAGGGACCAGTCCTTGGAGAAGGACATCATGCTTGGAAGGGTGGAGGGACAGCACAGGAGGGGAAGACCCTTGATGAGATGGACTGACTCAGTGACTGGGGTAGTGGGGGTAGGCATGTCAGAGACAATAAAATTGGCACAGGCTAGAGCAGTTTCAGGCTCTTGTATATGAGGTCGCTGTGAGTCACAGACAGCTTGACAGCACATAACAACAACAACAACTACAACAACTCCCTACTCACAACTCCCTACTTCGTTTGGGGACATAATGAAGGTTGTAAATTTGCTTTTCTGTCCAGACAGTAGGGTTCCTGCTTCTCACTGAATCACCAAGACAGAAACTTGGATCCAAAGCCGCCTTTCCAATCTTGCTGAATGATGGTGATGTTTTGTAAGCAGAACTACAGGTTGAAACCATTAGAAACAGTCGCCCCATGGCCAGAATCCAGCTTCCTGAAAGAACTCCCTGGTCTGAGGGCCCCTGGGCTGGACTCTCCACAGCAGAGGAGACAGAAGAGGCAGTGATGGACACGCATCTTATGTGGATGCTGTTGAAGCCCTGCCGTGTGACCCCGTTCTTGTCTTCTCACCCGTCTGAGCTTAGAACGTCCTGGAGGAGGCCTGAGGGCTCATGTCCTGGTCCTGAGCCAGTCTCCAGGGTTCCTGGGTTCTTCTAGTCAGAGCGCAAACTGTGGCCTTCTTAAGGACCAAGGTCATGTCCTATTTGCCTTAAAGCCTGTGTGCAGAACCATATTCCACACATACCCATGTCCATCAAGTCAGAATCATCTCACAGGTGACCCACGACTGGGTTTCTAAGGCTGTAAACTGAATGAATCATCCATCATTCTCCTGGTGGATTTGAACCAATGGAGACGTTCATCTCACAACTGCCCCTGGACTACACCTCCAGAGCTTGGCTTCACACATAGTAGTCCTTAATGTTTATTATCAGAAATAAAGAATAGAGAGTGGAAAAGCGTGAATACAGATGATACCACCCTGTGCACAGGCTGGGAACCTGCATGCTAACTGATCAACGGGATCCTGTCCTACTAGAGGAGATGGTAGATGAGCCTTTCCAGCCAGCCTTCCCACTTCCCCATCACTCTACCTGCCGGCTCACCTGCCCATCAGTTCACCTACCCATCCATCCATCCACCCACCCACTCACTCATCCTTCCATCCATCCATC